GCCCATCAGTCCCTTCTGGCTACCCGTGTTCGTACCGTCGACTTGCTCGGTATTGCCAAGGAAACTAGCCATGCGCTCTCCAACCTGTACTCCCTCGAGTGCTGGGGTGGTGCCACCTTTGATGTTGCTATGCGATTCCTCTACGAGGACCCCTGGGACCGACTCCGAAAGATGCGAAAACTTGTTCCCAACATTCCTTTCCAGATGCTTCTCCGTGGTGCTAACGGTGTTGCTTACTCCTCTCTGCCTGATAATGCTATCGATCACTTCGTCGACCAGGCCAAGAAGAACGGTGTCGATATCTTCCGTGTCTTTGATGCCCTGAACGATATCAACCAACTCGAGGTTGGAATCAAAGCTGTCCAAAAGGCTGGCGGAGTTGCCGAGGGAACGATTTCCTACTCGGGTGATAGTACAGTACCCTGTTCCCCATCGTGATGTTGACCTACTGACCATCCTTATAGTGCTTCGCCCTGGCAAGAAATACAATCTGGAGTACTACCTCGACCTTGCCGATAAGCTGGTCGCCCTTGACATCGATATCTTGGGTATCAAGGATATGGCTGGTGTGCTCAAGCCACATGCGGCTACACTTCTGATCGGATCAATCCGAAAGAAGTACCCTGACCTTCCCATCCACGTGCATACACACGACTCTGCCGGTACTGGTGTGGCTTCGATGGTCGCTTGCGCGAAGGCGGGCGCCGATGCTGTCGATGCTGCCACCGACAGCCTGTCTGGCATGACTTCGCAGCCCAGTATCAACGCCATCATTGCTTCCCTTGAGGGCAGCGAGTGTGACCCTGGTCTGGACCCCAAGCTTGTTCGATCACTTGACGTCTACTGGCAACAACTTCGTCTGCTTTACTCTCCCTTCGAGGCCCATCTTGCTGGCCCTGACCCCGAGGTTTACGAGCATGAGATCCCTGGTGGTCAGTTGACCAACATGATGTTCCAGGCTTCTCAGCTAGGTCTTGGATCCCAGTGGCTTGAGACCAAGAAGGCCTATGAGCATGCCAACGAGCTTCTCGGTGACATTGTCAAGGTCACTCCTACATCCAAGGTTGTCGGTGATCTTGCCCAGTTCATGGTCTCCAACGGACTGTCCCCCGAGGATGTGAAGGCCAAGGCCTCTCAACTAGATTTCCCCGGCTCCGTGTTGGAGTTCCTTGAGGGTCTGATGGGTCAGCCTTACGGCGGATTCCCTGAGCCTCTACGAACTGATGCCCTTCGCGGCCGTCGCAAGCTCGATAAGAGACCTGGTCTTTTCCTCGACCCCGTCGACTTCGTCAAGACAAAGCGTGAGCTCGGCAAGAAATATGGTGCTCCAGTCACCGAATGCGATGTGGCCTCCTATGTCATGTACCCCAAGGTCTTTGAGGATTACAAGAAGTTCGTTCAGCAGTACGGTGACCTTTCCGTCCTACCTACTCGATACTTCCTATCTCGCCCTGAGATCGGCGAAGAGTTCAACGTTGAGCTCGAGAAGGGCAAGGTGCTGATTCTGAAGCTCCTTGCTGTCGGTCCTCTCTCCGAGAATACCGGTCAGCGTGAGGTCTTCTTCGAGATGAACGGAGAGGTTCGACAAGTCACTGTTGTTGACAAGAAGGCTGCTGTTGAAAACATTAGCCGACCTAAGGCCGATGCTAACGACTCGAGCCAGGTCGGCGCGCCTATGTCTGGTGTCCTGGTTGAGCTCCGTGTCCACGAGGGCTCTGAGGTCAAGAAGGGCGATCCTATCGCCATTCTTTCTGCCATGAAGATGGAGATGAGCATATCCGCTCCTCATAGTGGAAAGGTTTCAAGCCTTCAAGTCCGTGAGGGTGACTCTGTTGATGGTTCCGATCTCGTGTGTCGAATCGAGAAGGCTTGAGGTGGTCGCGCAAGGAAATAAAAGACTGGGTTTAATGACACTTATGGATATCAGGCAGGAAGTACCCTAAAACTACGCGATTGGCACATTAGGATGACCTATGAATAGTTCTTTGAAGAAACTTTGAATACAAGTATGAATCAACTCATTGACGATATGGTTACCATTAGGCTTCTACTAATCCTGTGAAGTTTTATCATAAGCTTATAATACTTTAGGGGACTCTAGAATAATCCCTGCAAAGTTTAGAAAAGTTTAGTATAATCTCTTCATAAATATCATGATATAGACGTAGTAAAGAGGTGGCATCTGGTAAGGTAGCGGAGGAAATTTTGCATCGAGGAGTACTAACTGAAAGATGAAATACCGAGTTACCATATCTCACAGAAACTTTTGATCATCGACATCCTCAAATCCTGTAGAACTCAAGCTGAGTCTCGGAGTTTAGAGAAAGGGGTTCTGTTAAGCATTGGTAGTCTAACCGATTTTCACAACCAGATATACAGAAGATGGACAATAATGTTTGTCTTAAATGAAACGGTGTAAAGTTAATCTCCTCAATAAATATTATAGTAATATAATATCTCTAATCGTGGACGAAAATATTAGATATGAGTTATAGACAATGGAATCTATAAGACGTAAATCCTTGTTGATACCGTAATCTACAGCTTGTATATAGTGAAAATACTATTTTTATCCCTGGAGAGTAGCACTATTGCGGATCAAATATTGTATTCTTCAATCATGGTGTGAATATTAAGTACAGAGTCTTGCTTTCTTTTCTGCTCTCAGTTGGTCACCTCCAGCGAAGAGCCACATCATACATACGACAGACTAGGGAACGTGTCAGAAGTTGAGTCGTCCTCATTTATGCCCTCATTACTCGTAGATCTGTGTGGGGCCGGATCTCGGAGGCGATGGGGTATGCGGGGGCGGGTCTGAAGAAACGGCGGACCGCTGTCAAAGCAAATGAGAACCAGGGGTCAACATTACAGTCAAGGCGAATGACATCAGTCCTGAAGAATCACTTTTCGAGCGTCTCCTTAAATTCCCTGACATACTACTATGTGTGACCTGGATGGAGAGTAGTCTGCGTGGTAGAGCCCTTACGCATGAAGTTCGGAGGACTTTCGGAGTTTTCAGTAGCTAATCCCCAGATCGACAATAGGGGCGCTTCGAGGATGAAGATGAAATGGATGTCAGCTCCACCCTGTACCAACCCTATAGCAGTATAGAGATTCTAGCCAATTTGCCGTATGGGTGGGAAAGTCGGGATTGTACTCCGGATTAAAGATTGGAGATACTTGCTGAACCTGGGTATTGATGATATGCACTGCGCTTGAGACGAATCTTAGATATGGACTTTGCCTGAACCATATCTGTTAATATAACTTGCCGAAAAGTTTTACAACTCTTGATAACGACTCTGGCTTTTCTTATGATCATCATCTATACAGTTAGTTGGGTGACCATAAAGCAGTTCCCAACATAGGCTCAGATAAGTCTCCGTACAAGCTTGGAAGCTCACGGGTCGACAGTGCGGGGAATCCCACTCAACTATTTCTATACAGGGTTGCTTGCGTCAAAAGCTGCAAGTATCGACAGGGCCGATACCCTGGATGATACGGAGTCAATTTGTTATATCTGAAGTTTGATCATGTGGCCCGAAATCGGATGGACTCGGATGGGAGCTGTTTAATGAATGATCATTGATAGTTGTGATTTAGCCAGGAGCCCAGCACAGAATCCTGAGAAGAATGTTATTCACAATGACGTATATGAGAATGAGTGTACATGCAGACTAAGGTACGGTTAAGATGAGGCGATAGGGCAGATGGACAGACTGGGCAGCCTAACGAGAGTTTCTAGTGACCAAAGGACGGCGAACCTGAAAAACAGGCTCCGTCGGTCCGTAGCTATGGATGATAGCAGAGGCTGATTGTTGATGATGATGGCAATCCTCCCCCTGTCCGGAGTGCACGGTGAAGGTTGATCCAATATTGGGCGACAATCTTCGCCGCTTGATGGAATGCAACGCAACCATGAGAGGGCTAGGAGGCCCCCCTCTGGAACTTCTGGGTAAATAAGGTAAAGACCGTCACCCACCATTTCAGTGTCATCGGAGAACAGCGATGATCGGAACATCAATGTGATGTGCTTTTGCCGATCGATCCCGGCTTTCATGATAGCCTTGTCCTGCATGATTAACTGAGAGAAGCGGTGAGTATTACTTGTTTCTGATGGTTCTTTGTGTAAGGTACCTTAGGCAGTTGGGTACCTAGCTTTTCCCATTGTCAGACATGGCTTTCCGAGCTCGTGACTGTCGATGTTGGGGAGATTAGTGAAAGTGTGGGGGAGGAGTAAACCCCAGACTTGGCTTATTGACACCTGTAATTTTGGGCATTTAGCCCCCCGCTACCCTCCACTACCACTCGACAAGATCCCACTGCAGCCGGGGGTGACCGGCTATCTTATGCACGATAAAATGCAGTGCTGGAGCTCTGGACTTTTGGAAGCATGAACCTGACCAATCATGGACTGCACTGTGGTGGTAGTGGTGTTTTGCTTCACTAATTCCTATTTCTCAGCATAATCGAGAAGCTTCATTCTGATACTACCTGGGCAAAGTTGTCTTCGTTGTCATTCTTGGTAGAATGTCTCAAAGAATCGGTGAAGAACATATTTGTATCTACAGCTACATCTGATATTAATGAACGTGATACTATGTACTAATTTATTGAGTAAGTGAGTGAGTGACTCTACCTAAAGTATGTAGGTACTGTAGATATCAGTTTGTCTCCCCCGACCATGGCTCGCCCCCTGTCGCTTGGCACACGCACGGCAGGCGCTGTGGATGGATCTGCGGCTGCCTGCCCTCCGAAACCCAAAATTCGCCCACCGCAAGCCAAACCAGGCTCAGGAGCAACCTGTATTACAGTCCATTCAAAAAACACCTTCCCTCCAACCCTCCTCTGACCTCACTTCCACCAAAACTCTCTTCCTAACAGACCTGAAATTTCTTCTTTTGACTTCCTATGGTTTCGATAGGAAGCATTATAATAACTGATACCCTTCATCCCAGTCACCTCTAGCAACACTCAAACCGCTTCTTCCATCGCGAGCAATGGAGAGCCTTCAACTATCCCAGGTTCTTGCCGACCTCAGCAATATCGGCGCCGCCGTATGTGTCCCTATTTGACCTTGAGCTCCCCTTCGCTATGTCTTCATCTGTGCAGTCGATACTAACGTATCTCGTGTGTCAGGATCCGGGAGCCGCAGAGGCCATCGTCAGCGCCAACAACCCCTCCAATTCTAGTTACACCCGAGTCGAAGTGACTGCAGCTGCAACTGCCCCTACCTCGAGTCCGACTACGAATCAACAGCGACGTCCCACAGGCTTACAGCGGCATTGGTCGTCGGAGAAATTCGACAAATTTGGCCGCCGCATTCTCTCTCCCGGTTCCCACTCTGGTTCAGCCGTAAACTCTAGCCCTGGAACTCCTCGCCGAGGCGAATCTGATGTGAGGCAACCCCACCAACCGTCGTCTCAAAGGCGAAGCTGGGACTCGGGTACTGACAGAATTGCTGTACAGTTCGAAGAAGACCTGGAGAGAGCAAGCACACTCATGCAACTATACGACATTCGCTCCAAGATCAAGCAGCAGGATAACAGCAGTCTGCTCAGAGCTCGAGAGAAGGTCAACGCGATAGCAGCGCGACAACAAGCTCAGCAGGCCGCGGAACGCAACATGAAGGCAGCTGACGAGCTTCGACGACAACGCTACTCTTTCCCAAGAGCCGGTCTCTGAAACGAATGACCCCTTACGATTTCCTTATATCTCCTCAAGACGGATCACGGGCTCGTTATGAAAGGATAGGCGCTGGGTAATATCTGATTGGTGTTCATGGGATGATTTCTTTAACGGCGTTTGGGACACAAAAGTATATGCCGTCGGTGGGATGAAACCAATTCTATTATGAAGAGCGAGGTTGAAGGCAACCCTGATATGTTTTAACGGTTGGAACTGCTGACATTAATACGATACGCTTGGATAATCGAAGCGGAAGCTGTTCTTTTGGCACTTTGGGGGACCGAGATGGCACCAAACACTGCATGTATATCATGGGATAACGAAAGCGGTTTTGATTTTCTCGAATAATTCGACTCCTCCAAATTATCATAGATATGCCCCAACTTCGATCACTTTCCACAGATGGCACATGACATCAATTCTTGCATGATTTGAGCCTCTTGGCCTAATGCCTCTATGTATGCAAGGATCATGTAAACTGCCGATAGATGGTTTAATTAATCCTTAGCTATTTGAGAAAGAACAGCAAAGATTATTAATAAGCTTAAATATCATGGCCCAAACTAACATGGAGCTCCAAGACGGGTTTTTGGAAGGTCTTGTTGTAAGCCGAGCTTCTGCTATATGTAGAGCCCGAGAGTTTGGGTTGGTTCTTGCTTGGCATTTCGGAAACTTACATATAAAAGTCCAGAAGACTCATGCAGGTCCTTTTACAAGTCGCTCATGACGTTCTAGAATGTGGTTTATATGTAGCAGCAGATCAATCATCAACGAAATGTTGGAGTACAGTATGTACCTAGTCAAGGGATAAAACACGTCATTCATTGGCTTTGCCACATCAGAGGGGAATTGGGATTTGGCCGCGAAGACTTTTGAGGCTTAGCAGTCTTGGACAGGTGATGATTTCGGTCCAGAGCTGCCGGTGAAGTACAGGCCTTTCTGATACTATCTGCTAACCAAGGGGACCGGTCATCGATTGATACGCAAAATACGCTGCGTATTGATGACGGCCTTGACTCACTCCTCAAACCTGTATTGAATATCACCCATGAACGTAGCATGGATGGTATGATTGTTTGGCGGGAATCACGGCAGATACTTGTATGAAGGTTACCATGATGTAAGCGCCAAGCTCCTAACTGTTACTGTATCTTCACGCACAGCCACTGTTGACCACGCAGCGCAATAGCATTAAACCTCGTTTGACAGCCAAGAGCACACCATGTTGGCCAAGACGAGACAAAAGTGGAAACACTCGAGACCAAGAAGAGGCTTGTGACCGCGTTTTGTTAAAGTTACGCAGGCAACTTTAGGCTCTAGGCCAAGCTTGGGTGGATATCATGATTCTTCTTTTCTCTTGGCTTCGTCGTTTGAGTTGCACTATGCATAAAGGGCCCTCCTCCCACTCACTCTCTTGTCTCCCCTTCTCTCATTTGCCTGGAGCTTGTAATAGCAAATAAACCTATTATTAACCTGATTTTTCTTACACCCTTTGACGGCCCGGTCTAATCGTCCGTCAATCACCTCCTGTAACAGTTCTTTTTACACAACCTATCAGATAAAGACGTCACCTCCCTGGGAACACAATCACACACATTCTACGTCATAGCCGAGCGACTCAGCGCCGCAAACAACAACACGTCAAAAACAGAGTTTGCCAATTGAACGTTCTTCAACTCTACTCCATCATCGTCGCGTACCTATCGTATACAGATTGCGCATCTCCATAATCATAATGGCGCCCACTGGAGATATTTTTGCGCGCGACTACTACAGATGCCGTTATGGCCAGACTTGGAATGGACGAACTTGTGTTCGTAACAACTGGTCCTACTGGGGGCGCTGGGTGTTAGCGGGCATCATCATCTTTTTCTTCGTCCTCCTCCTCTCCTGCTGCCTGTGAGTAATTGTACCTCCGTCGCTGTTGGAAGTATCTTACTAACACATCAAGATTCTCCCGCCGTCGCAAACGCCGTGGCGTTAAGCCCGTTTACGGCACTGGATGGATGGCGGCCAAGCCTTGGGGAAACAACAACAACAACCACCAGATGTACAACTACGGCAACCAAGGCGGTTATAACCAGGGCTACCAGCAGAACAACGGCGGTTACGGAGCTCCACCTCCACCTCCAGCCTACGGCCAGCAACAGCAGCCTCAGTACACTGGTACGACATTCAACACCAGCGACGGGTACTACGGTCAGGGCCAGTATTCCGGCGTGCAGCAACCCCAGGGTACATACCAGCGTGAAGGTGCTTACTCCCCACCTGCGGGTCCTCCTCCTGGAAAGTAAGGCACGGCGGTGGGTGCGTTTGGAATGGGAGCGGGTTTCGACGTGGAAAGGATACCACCGATTAAGGCGTTTGGGTGCTCGCTTTGTATTGAATGGACTTACGTCAAGACGTGCTGTGTTGTGATAAGAGGCATTACCCTCGCGAGCATGGCCTGGGTGGAATCACGATAATTATTCCCCCCCCCCTAATTGATTCTGGTGTTCTCTTTAGCACTTGTTTATCGAAACAGTTAGATATTTGTATTTGGGACGTGTTGCTGACAACATTTCAACGGATCTGTCGTGACTTCAAAGGCTTGATATTGATGAACGAACTCAATTGAAGAGCAACAGTCACATGCTGATAGGTGAATTTGACGTATGCATAGATCCAATAACTCGACATCAACGCCACAGCCATTGACGGGACCTGCATGAACATGATAAAGGTGGGAAGAAACAAACCTACAGTACTCCGTATTATACCATTCGTTGGGTCATGTATATTACCACTTCATGCCTCATGGTAGCAGTGGACGACGATCTGAATGTCTCTTTCATCGATATGTACAATAATGCCGAATTCATCCGCGTATAAAGGCAGTGCTGCTGCACATCGCAATCATAACAAAAGGAACCCAAGCCTTGGCTCTTTGATACTTTCTACGCCATGTCCCGAGGGCCTCGTCCAATGTGCACAACTTGAAGAGTATGCCTCAACACAGTACCCATGGATCATCTCACATTTCACCACCAAATCCGATACTCTCCAGCCGTTGAAATCTGACACTGATAAATGACGAAATCATTTCAAAACCCTTCATTTTTTTACTTCAACTCTGCGACAGGATCGTCCGGCAATCGAGACGGCCCTGTCATTTCGGAAATGGAAGAAGCCCCTGTGGCCCGCACCACGACCAGGGCTGAGCTTCTAACTGTTTGACAGAAGGGCTAACAATGGTATGGCGTCTTTGATGCTGGTGATGATTTGACGGCCTTTATCGCGCACACGATTCAAGGAAGACTTGTTTGTCCTTGAAAAGTAACCAGATATTGTTCTTTAACCTCGCACGTTCATCTACGGTAGAAGGTCTCCAGGCGATACTTCTCCTTCACAAGAAAGATCTTCAACTCATCAGCTTGCCCATCTTGCTACTCTCAATTTCCCAAGCATGCCGTTCACCATTCTCTTTACAGCATTCTCCGCGAATATTCGTTCAATTACCCGATGTCGGTCCTATAAAGGCTAGGTAGGGTTAAGGGTCAAGCCACCGAGTCGTCATCACCCCTTCAACTGTCAGAGTTAGCTGTTGAAAGCCCGTATTTGGATGGATTCACAGTCGGATTACTACAACAACGTCCATATTCAATATAATACAACAGGCGTACATATTCTCTAAACGCGGAATTGACTCTTCTCTCTCTGCCGAGTCTACTCTCAGACCGAACTGAACTGTCCGCCCCCATGAATGGATATCCAAGCGACAATCCTGTCGAGTTTCACAGTTTCAGAACCCTTCTGACAGGGATGTTTTATCGATCAGGGGCAAATTGAACCACTAGTGGTCCCGTTTCCCCTGGATCGTCCCCGCCACTCGCGGTAATTCTGGACCTCCCAGCGCCTCCATGCCCCTAGTAGCCAGGCCTCTCCACCTGGCGGGCGCCTCTAACTCCAGCTCCACCGTTTCTTTCTTCCCTTCTCTTTGACTTGTAGGCTTAGGTTGTACTTAATTCTCTACATCAACACGAACGACAATGCTGATGTGGCTGTCGTTCTCTAAGCCTCTCTTTAACATCATATAGGTCATCTACACTCTCTTGATTGCCTTGTTTCTTCAAAACATTCTCTTGTACTGTCGGTGCGAGCGCCGCTCTTGTTTCTTCGTCCACAGTTCTCTTCTACTAAACCGCCGTCCTTCATTCCAACATTCGACTAACGACCCGCTCCAATATTGACACGCGCTGCAAGAAGATACATCATACGTCGTTGTCTCGATAACATCGTGTTTTGACTTTTTGACCGTTTCTCGATCAACATCCCCTAACTCAATTCAAGCATTATCGACTTGCCCATGCGACCAAGTATTATTATACCCTCAACCTCGAGCAAAATACGCAACACCATATTCATTACACCATTCTCGATCTGCTCGAATTTGTTTCACTCATCGCCAGCTCCATCGTGAAGTGGGACACATTAGCAAAATGCCCTCCATTGACGAGGCCATGGCACGGAGCCTTCGGGGCAGTGCCTGGGAGGTGGTCAAAGACAAGTTTGTCCGGACAATTGTAGCCGACCTTTCAAGACGAGACATGTTAGCCGACGCAGCGCAAACGTCCGATGAGGTTGCACAGAAATCAGAAGACTTTGCAACCGCCTTCTCTAGCTGGGACAACTGTATGAACGTGGCGTGGTGCAAGTACGTAATTATATCCTTCGCTACTGACAGGCCTTGTTTGCTAACTTGACCCAGGTGGCCAGTAATTGGTGTGATGATCATCGGAGGTCTCATCATCTTCAGTATTGTATGGTGTATTATTCGCTGCTGCTGCTGTGGTCTCTCATGTTGTTGTAGCTGCTGCCAGTGTCTGAAGTGCTGCGGTAACTGCTGCGGTGCCTGTGACCCTCCGCGCAGTGCTACGAAGCATTTGGATGACCCTTATGCTCCCCAAAGTCAGCATCATGGATACCGAAGTGAACCCCCAATGAATCCATCAGCGCCTCAGTACGGCGTCACAAAGCCCATGCGATCCGAGCCACCTCAGTATGCGGAATTCGAAACGAGTAAAGGCAGAGACGATGATGCCCTCCCTGAAATGCCCAGCTGGGAGGGTGCTAGCAGCAAAAAGGTCGAGGTTCATACAGAGGCCGTTGAGCTTGACACTCTACCTTCGAAGCCACCTCATAGTCAGCAAAGCAACATGATGGGTGGAGTTTCATCAAACAATCTGACTCCCTACAGCCAGGCACAGAGCAATTCAAGCGGCTACCTGGCCACTAAACAAGCTCCCGATGCATATTCACCTATCGACCAGCAGGGCTACGGATACCAGACCCCCGGCATGAACCCTATGTACAGCAGTGCCGCTGCTGTCGCACCCATGCCACATGAACGTCGCTCCCCGGCCTTGAACACCAATGGATACAGCAACCAAGGCTACGGCCATGATCAAGGATTCGAACAAGCCCAAGGCTACGGGCAAATGCAGGGCTACGGTCAACAAGGTTACGGTCAAGCCACGTCCCCCAACGATTATGCCGCAACTTATAGCGGCTATCGAGGAACTCCTCCACCGCGGCCCGCCAGTTTCGCCAAGCGAGCTTCAATGCATCAGGATGAATTTGGTACTTATGGACAGCTTCCTCCTCGCCGTTCTCCAGCTATCCCAGAAGACTATGGTTATGGATCGCCCGTTCGTCAATCACCCGGCCCCCAAAACGATTTTGGCTACGCTCAGCCACCTCGTCAGTCTCCAGCGCCTATGAACGATTATCGAACACCGCCTCCTGGCCCTGAGGCCAGCTATGGTGCTCATCCTGTACCGCAGCGGCAACACATGCCAGAGTCCCACTCTCCGCAAGAGCCATACCCAGGTTTTAAGCCATACCAGCCTTGAATGGAGAATTTATGACACTTTGGACGTGTGCGCAAGCAAAGACATGCATGGTTGTGTTTTCAGAGTATTTCATGGATATACGGAGTTGTTTCCGGTATTTTTGTTACTACTTTACTAAGTTTTAGGCGTCGGCGTTTCTAGGGAGAATTTGGGTCGAACTTTTCTTTAGAATTTGGGTCTGGATACTCGTGTTATACTTTTGGAGGGCCCCATGCTGCGGATTTGTCGTCAGTCTGTAGGGAAATGGCCTGAATGCACCACTTGGCCATGACACAAGGACTCCTCGCCTACGTGATGAAACTCTATTCAGCTTCATGCAAGCTTGGCGTTATAGCCAAGACTTATCCATTCATTTACATGACGAGTTTGCTAAACGAAAATCATCACCGCCGCCGAGGCCTTGTAAAGTTTGATTTGATGTCGCTTCTAATCCCGAATTGTAATCCCATCTGAAAACGCCCCAAGCTCCTATTTACGCTATGAGCCTGACTACCGCTGAAAGCCGACAAAGAACCGCCAGTATTTGCAATATAATTTTATCTCCATCCATTGGTAAGACGCCACGACTCGAAACCAGTACAAATTGCTTGTGAAAGACCCATACGACCAAAAACCCCGATAAAATTCGAAACAAAACAGAGCCCTGTCCAAAGCTCAAGTAAACTCTTCTACTCCTTGGGGTATAGCTCTTGGGGAACCTTGTCCTGAGGACCACGGGCGCTCGCACTACTTCCTATGATTGTTCGATCGTCACCGTCGCGCTCTGGATCATACTCTCCAGAGTCTCTGCCATTGGGTTGCGTGGAATGAGTGGGCCGCGTGACAGGCTTATCATCATCGTCATCGGACTCACTGTCGGTCTCGTGCTCCGAATCGACAAGTCTGGCACGTGAAGTCTCGTCTTCACTGTCGTCGTATCTCCTGCGGCGGCCTTCATCATCAGATTCGTTACCATGGGTTTCGTGGTTGGTCTCTTTGAGCTTGATGAACGAGTCGATGATATAGTATTGGAGGGCGTTCATGATGAGGGGAAAGATCATCATGACAAACGCGATCTGAAGCTTCTCATTGCCCTCGGTCCAGCCAAGAGCCCAATCGCCAGCTTTTGAGATCCAAGGCATCATGATGAAGATGATGAGCACGCAGATCTTCATGCCAAAAAGGCCACAGAAATAAATGACTGATTGTTTCAACCACCACCATACATTGGGTGGGGTACCGTAGTTGCCAGACTGAACAGATTCCGGGGGTTGACCGACGGGTGTGAAACGAACGAGACCTGTGAGGATCTTGAGGAGGATGATGAGTATAGGGATACCGAGAGTGGTCTACAGATGTTAGCAAATCTGGGGATAAATTACAGCATAGGCTGGCACTTGCATCTATGGCGAGGTTGAGAAGATAGAAAGAGCATGGGTTCGGGGCGTAGTTATCATCATCGGATCGTCTCGTCATGGATGTTGCTGAAGGGTCGACCTGGACCGAGAATCGGCCGCTCGTCAACATGGACATGAAGATATTTGCGATATGAACAAGGACAGAACCGAAAACCTGTTTCGACACGTCGAAGAACCAAATCTTGAGAGGTCGTTGAGGCCGTTCCCGCCACCGCTTGTAGACGAGGGAGAGTAGAGCCAGAGCACCAAGTGCGCCTTGCACAAGTAGCGCGAAGGAGCCCAGCAACGAGCACTCCCCGTTGGAATCGTCTTCGTCGTATGACTGAGGTGGTCCGGACGCGATGAAGGTTGCGGATGCGGCTGTGGAAGAAGCCATGGAGGCGGCCGAGGCGATTACTGAAGTGGCCATCTCTAGAACTGTTGAAGAATGGGCGAGAATCAAGGAAGAAGCATCATGGACGGCGACTGGTATATCTTCGAGGTTCGACGGAGGCTGCATGTGGACATACGTGGACGTTTGACTGATTATGATGTCGAATATCTCAATAGAGAGGAGAGAGAAGTAGTGATGTTTCAGGAAAGCCAAAAGGGTCCAATGGGGGCAAAGAAGGAGACGAATGAGAGTTGTTGAGGGCAAAACTCTTACAAAACTTGTTGAGAGATGAAACTTGTATTTATCTTGGTATAACGATGAAGAGCAAAAAAGAAAGACCAAAAATAAGATGACGAATGGAGACAAAATGAAAGGGGGAGGAAAGTCAAAACGGAGAACGAGGCGCTTGTGACTGATGGGACTTGACTGACTGATCATGAATATCGACGCCTAGGCTGAGCGTGGTCATGGATATTCGGCTCCGGTAGCTGGTCGTTCTCAGATTAGGCTGGGCCTAAGCCCAAATTCAATCTAGACTCTTCAACACAGCCACGCACGACCTTGTCTCGTCCCCCCCTCCCCCATCTTGTGGCGCCATGGCTCATGTTCGGCTCAACTTAGCTCCGTGAAGAAACCTCAGGCGGCGGCTATCAACACCAAAAAAAAGTACAATCCAAGTCGACGACGTTCACGGCCCTTCCAACGCCGACTAGCTTCTCGAATTCCGTCGACCTTCCCTCCACACAATGCTTCGTCCGATATTAAGGGCCCCTCGCTCCGCCTTTGGACTCGGCCTGCGCTCGACAGTCAATGCCCGCAGATCTATCCATCATGTTCCCCAACTGCCGCACGACTATTCTGAGGGTGTTCCTAACCTCATGAGCCCTGGAGGTTTCTCGATCGCTTGGACTGAATATATGAAGCTCATGGTGGAGAAGCTGAATGCTTTGACTGTTGGTATGTGTGGAATTGACGTTCTAGGACAGCATTGAACCAACACAATGTTTCCTAATTTTATGTTGAATTATATCCCAACTCAACACCTACTGACATGCCAATTTCCAGGCACCGAGCTCGAGGATAAGGACACAAAAACAATCGCTCTCATGACAGCCCGCGAGCCTAACCAGGCCCCAATCTTCAACTATGCTTCCATGGCACACAACAACCACTTCTTCTTCCAAGGCATCGCACCAGAAGGAACCCCCATGCCCGACGCCCTCCGTAGCGAACTAGAAGCCTCATTCTCTTCCATCGAGACCCTCCGCCGCGAATTTATCATCACTGCCTCCGCTATGTTCGGCCCAGGCTTCCTCTGGCTCGTCAAGGCTGGCCCCGGCGACTATCGACTTCTGCCCACCTATCTCGCCGGATCTCCCTACCCCGGCGCTCACTGGCGTGCCCAGACCACCGATATGAACGCTGTGGGCAAGGATGGCTCTGCCCGCACTTACATGCACAACCAGGCGTTCGGCGCCAACAAGCGAAACAGCGATCTTCCCCCAGGTGGTGTCGAGCTGGAGCCTCTTCTGTGTCTAAACACCTGGGAGCACGCATGGCTGTTGGATTGGGGTGTAGGCGCTGGTGGCCAGGGCGGAAAGGCTGCTTTCGCCGAGTCATGGTGGAAGTTGATCGACTGGGAGAAGGTGGCTCAGAAGTCGGGAGTGCTGCGACCTGGCTTCAAGTCTGCGTAGGCAGAAATATGATACATGACAGCGCCTAGAAATGATGTACAGTCAGGACACGATGTTACGGCATTGGTTAGAGACAAGGGGATAAGGGAAGCGAATTCTGTAAGATATTGTACTCTGCATATAAAGGGGGGAATGTACTATTTGACGTCTCAATGCGTCTCTTATGTCCTATATCTTGCTCATAAGGCAGACGCCTCAGAGATGGTTTGTTTACCCAGTTATGTTGCCATACGCTAGTTCTCGTATATAGCGTATCTCGTGAGCAAAAATGGATAAACACCAAAAAGACATACAACACCAGGTATTCGCTGGTCGTCACCGAACCAACTACTAATCCGGCGCTTCGTGGCTTGACGATGGGGGAGCAGACGGGACCCCGTATTCTACACGAGCTGTGGTCGTATGCAACGATCGAGTCGGTAACAAGACATTATATCAGGGTGTTGAGCTCTGTTGGCCGACCTGAATGTATCATGAGCCTCACAGCTGGATACAACTAGGAGTAGGTATCAGAAGGCCTCAATGGTGCAAGTTGTTGCTGATGGGCAATTCATATGTGTACGTGTATATGCTTCAGACAGCCCAAGCGACACATCTAGTTTCGTTGCCAAACACACCCTCCTACAATAATAATTCACGTCGGAGACAGTATTCCTCCACTCCTGATCAGCTAACCTTGCATCGCATGTCCTATCCATATAGCTCCTGAAGAGGAGAGACCCCATACAAGACTCAACAATAAGTTTCCAGAAAGACAGCAACGTCACATAGCTTTGAGGACAATATTGTAATTCATCATGTCATTTTCTTTTCCTATCCTAAGAAGCTAGCCCGAGCTACCTATATGAAGTAAAAAATCAACAAGCGCTGTGTGGTATCTGCGTCATCCTTCGTGAAGTAAAGAAAAGAAATTTAAGGGAGTGGGCTGTGCAGTGCTGAGTTTTCTAGAGTCGTGTGCGAATGGTATAAAACGAAGGCAGCTCGTTCACCTGGAGCAATGGCCTATCAATCAAGAGAACATCTTGAGTATGCAAATTCCAATACCCAAAAAAAGACATCATTGCTCATCTCGAGCTAACATTCATCCGCTGTGTAAGCATCCCGCGAGAGAGCCGCAGCAAGTATCGCACAGTAGTTGTACGTTCTGGCATGTAAGAAGACACAAGAAACACCAGTACAAAGAGAAAAACCCCGAGCCCCAACAACCATCAGTGGGAGGGTATCAGGTCAACGGTATCGAAATGAAATCAACGCAGAGTAGAGTTTTGGCAAGTGATGGAAAGGTGGCGGATGAGGTGGTTTAGATCATGTTTCCGTTAACGCTGATTTCAAAACCCTCGCCCTTTTGTCTGAGCGCCTTTGCGAGCATAAGCTCTCGCATCCAGTCGATGCGGTCATCTCGGTTCTTGACAGCAAAGTGATGCGTCTTGCCTGTGCCGTTGACACCCTCTACGGGAATGGTACCGGCAGGTTGAAGATGGCTCTCACGCTTCCGAAGGCGGGCAGTATTCTTCTCTTGAGGGATGAGCTGGAAAGCAAAGGCACCAACAGGGTCACTCTTCTCGCGGCTATGGCTTCCACGAGAAAGATGCATCGTCTTGAAAGCAGCAGTGAGCTTTGAAGAGGATGCAACGCTTGAGCAGGCAATTGCGTAATCGTCAATGTCCACATACTCAAGGGTCCGGTCGAGCTCCTCGGCATCCTTGTGCATATTGAGACGGGTACCCTTCAGAGTAAAGTAGCCGTCCTGCCACTCATGCCGAAGCATCTTCGTCTTGCGCTTCTTCATTGGACCTTGGTGGCTGATACCATTGGCAGGGTCGGCAGACGGAGACTTGCCCTTCGCACCAAGAGGTGTGACAGTTGGTGCCAGGACTTTCTCGGAGCCATTGAGATGGCCACGGGAGAAGGGCAAGTTATCACGGGGGGGCGGCTGAAGAGGCTGCTGAGATCGTGAACCTCGTGGGGACTGTGGTGAGGAGGAGCCTTGGGGAGGGCGGCTAACGAGAACAGGCTTGTTCTCCTCGAGAGCGGGCATCACAGGGAAAGAGGGGCGGCGGGCTGAAGTGCGAGACTGGCAGCGGGGAGGGGAGACATTGGTAATTGGAGATGTGCGGTAATTCATGTCAGGGGGGACAGATTGGGAGAAATCTCGAGCTACTGGGCCAATGGGTACAGCCGTAATGGGAACATCAAGCTCCGAGAATGGCGTACCATGGCGGAAGCTGTTCCTAGGTGTCATCTCCAGATCAGGAGATCGAGGGCTGGTCTTCTCCATCTGGTAGGGGACAAAGGCGGGCTGTTGTTGCTGTTGCAATTGCTGTTGATGTTGAGCAAATGACTGCGTGGGCTTCTGAGGAGGAGGCACTGAAGAAGCACCAAGACGGGACTGGGGAAGCTGAGGCTTCCCAGGAATGGACAGTTTAGGGAGTCGGCGCAGACCTTGGTGAGGAAGCTGGGCCTGTGCGGTTGGCATACCATCAAATGGAGGCGTTGGAGGCACCTCGGCGCTGCAGTCTCCCTGCTGTTGGTGCTGAAAGCTAAGGAATTGTCTGACATTGTCTTGAGGATCTCTTGACTGAACGCCACGGAGAGATGCCTCATAAAGATACTGTAGAGGAGGCATTCCAGGACCCATGACATCCGAGGAGGCGACAACAGAAGGTACAGCGTCCGATACTGGACGGACCTTGTTAGGGTCCAATGCCTTGGCCGTCTCTGGGTTGCCAGCATCTCCAACCATGACAGTACCAGTGGTATTAATATCCACATGTGGATATTCTTTCTTGAAAGCCCTGATAAGCTGCTGTTGCTTTCTGAATTTGGAACAGTTCTCCCCCTTGGAACAGTGATGGGGCTTTGGGATAACTTGTTCAATACCGATGATAGACACTGACTCCATGGGAGTAATATCGTCTCCATTTGCCCTTGCACGATGACGTCGCTTGCTGCTCTGACGACGCTTAGGACCACCTTCTTCACCCCTTCGCGCTTCTCTGACGACTTCCTTGCTTGGAACATCTTCAATTGGTGTTTCCGGACGAGGTGATGCAGGTCTGCTGTCTCTGAGAGCTTGGATTTCATGCCAGACTTTGGTCCTAATACCAAACGATTGGATGTTAAGCTCCTTGAGATCTTCAAACTTGAGCGTTATCAGAATTGCACCGCTGATATCATTCTCCATGAATCGGTCTGCCACAGACAGCTCAACGCCAGCATTGAGCATAGCCTGCGCAACCATCTCAGTGGACCATGATGCCAGAGTCGTCGTGTCCAGTTCCGCATCAGTGTACTGGAAAGGACTGGTTCGTGTCGGTGGTGGTTGGGATGTCATGAGAAAGTCCGCGATGTTCCGAGGTCCCTTGGGAGTGATGGGTGATAATGTCAAAATGATGTCCTCTTCGGTGGCAGAGTATTGGTCAGTCGAGTTCCGAAAAAGGTGAGGACCTCGAGGGCCTTCAACCTGCTTTGGGGAATAATCAAGCGGGACTTCTTGGCTTCTACTCGATCTTGGCGTCGGGACCTCATCGTAGGAAGAAACTGTTGTGAAACTTGGCTGCCCAGCCTAAATATGTTTGTTAGTTCTTGTCTAGGTCGATCGACTTTCTCTGTGGGACACATACCGATTGCAGACTTATACGAGGCGAGTTGTCCTCATCATCGCTAATGATTTCATCCTCTTCTTCCCAGTCCGTGTCCACAAACTCGGTTGCCACTGAAATTGGTCGATCTAGTAGTTGAGAATCATTCTTGAGGCTGAAGAAGGTGTCCCGAGGTACGGGTTGCTGTCGCATTTGTGAATATGTCAGGCGATCTCCGCCTCGGAAAGATGTGTACTCCTATGGGTCAGTGTTAGCGATATCCATAACGCTCACTGACTAAGTACTTAGGCTTACCATTTTGGAGTTATGTCAGCAGATGTCAAGTAGTTGATGCTACCAGGCACCGAATACTGTTGGTGAGGTTGTCTGTATCAGCTGGCTAATGCTTGATATGGCCGTCGCCGGCGGTCGCTTCTTTAGAACTCAGTGCCTAAGCACGATCAAGGAGACGCCTTGAAACAAAGAGAAACAGATAAAGGAAACATAAATCTCGTTGTGTCGAGGAGATAATACACAGGTCGCAAAAGTTGGGAGAAGGGGACCAGGGGAGTGGGCGGGCGGTTACGGGACGTTATGTATGCACTATAGCTCGACACTGGAGACTGAGGGAACCAGCAGAGGCATGAATATGAGCGGTCACGGAGTGGATGGAGACAAGAATAGACTTGGGCGAGGTGCTAAATGCAGAGTGCGTGGCCATGTCTCTAGGCCCTCGGGATACTGTAGCCCAGTCAGTCCCTCGACCCTAGACCCTTGTACCCTGGCTTGTTCGGGGGATGAGAAAGAGACGGGAGGAGAAAGAGGAGGGTGGGAGCAAAGATCCTAGGGTGAAGAACAGGGTGCTGCGGCTTCATCACACCGGCACGGGACGCAGAAAACGGAAAGCCAGCAGCATGTTAAGACCAACAGCCTGATTGAGATCCATCTTATGGACCAACATGTAGATCAAACATTGGATCAGGGCATTGCACTAGTGTATGATCCGAAGGCCATGATAGTAGATACTTGAGTTAAAGTGACAAGCCGACCTCCTCTAAGACACATGGATTGACAGTCGATTTGGATAGGGTACCAGGCAAAGCGAGTTGAGCATTAAACTGTGCACGGCGTCAAACTGGTGGTATCAATTGGGCCTTGAGTCCGGGCAGAGTGGCTGCGTCTCGCGTGCAAAAATGCACGTCCAGTCACGTTTCTGTGCTCTGATCACGAATCAGAGGGCGACTGGGGGCCGCGGGGGGGCTAGATATTCGAGAGAGAAACAGTGTCTCTGCCGGGACGCTCAATGACGATGGAAGAAGAGAAGCATCCTGGTCCAAGTTAAGCAGAAGAGCGTGGGGCGCCATGCCTCGAGCTGTCTGTGCTCGTCGATTGGCTTAAGCTGGCGCACGTTGCGACCCT